AGCTCCTGAGCTGTCAGCGACACTGCACTGACCCTCGTTGACACAGGAACATGTTAATCCTTCAGGCACCATTCTGAGAGCCCGGGCTGGGTCCTTGGACGGGGCCTGCCTAGGCCTTTCCAGCCACCAAAAGGGATTCAGCGACGTGAGACCCTCTCCCTCTTCGTCCAGGCGGACGGGCACACAGACAAGCTCCTCCCACACACTCCTCCAAATACATTCACGCCTGACGTGCCTGGGATACACCTCAGACTTCGACACACGTGTGCACACACACACACACAGGCACAGCCAAGCAGTTTCACAAGGAGGTGGCATGGAGGTACTGCCTACAAGCCGTGCTCTGAGTCACCCACCTCAGCATAAAACTGTCAAGAGTGCCCGTCCACCAGTTAGAGGTTAGCTTGAGAAGCTTTGGCCAAGTCTCTTAACAAAATGTGAAAAACGTAAAAGTGAACAAGGGGACAACTGCTTAAGGCTTTTGCTTAGAGAGGGGGTTCTGAGAGGGGTAGGGGTCAGCAGAAACAGACCTCACTTCCTTTACTTGGCCAGAAGGCTGTCCCGGTCAGAGCTGCCTAAAGTCTGTCCTGTTATATGGGCGGGGGAGGGTGGGTGTGGGTGGTCCTCATCCCCTGTGCTCTCTGCATTCCTCCAGGGTCATAAAAATAATGCTATCGCTTGTTAAGTGCCTATTAAGTGCCAGGTGCAATAATGTGCACCTGCTTGACGTCCATGTCCACCTAGCCTCCCAGGGAGAGTATTACTGCCATTTTACAGATGAGGAAACTTAGGCTCAAGACTTGCTTCAGGTCACGAGATAGTATGTGTGGTGGGGCCCCTAACCTCTGCCCTTCCCCCACAGCCTCCTCAGCACAGGGAGATGGTCTCACTCTGGGAAGGGTTGAGGGGCTGGGAGCGGCCAGAGGCCCTGGTTTGGTCTTGGATCTGCCTGGGAGGCTGAGAGAGACTAACTTCGGGGCTGGACATGCTGCCTGCAGAGACCAAGGGCCCAGGTGGTGGTTGTGTGCCAGCGGCGAGAGAGGTCTGCTTTGCGGCAGGCCACCCACGTGAAGGACACTGCACCTCCTTCCGGACACCAGGTCCTCACCCCAGGGCTCGGCATGAGGCAGGGCCTGGGGGGCACAGGCTTCCAGAGCCCTCCGGCTCACCCTGACCCCACCCCCACCCCAGGGGAGTGCTGCAGCCTGTGGAAAACCCATCCCCTCACTTTGGGGGTCCTGGGCTCCTAATCCTAACCCCACAGATAAGGCGCCTTACTGCCCCAGAGCCCACGAGAATGCACCTTATTAAACAGCCCCGGAAGCCTGACTCTGTTGAGAAGACTTCTCAGAGTTCTCCGACAGCCCCTTACCATAGTGGGGTCACAGCCTCACCTGTCCCCCGTGGTGTGTATCTGTTTAAATTCATGCAGGCTGATGTGCAAATGCATCGAAAACTCCACTGGGCTTTTTGTGCCGCTGTCTGGGACAGTCCTGCACATGTAGGAATGTAGCAATACTGGATGGCTCCCCATTTTCAGTGTGCTTGGGGCCCAGGGCAGCGGGATGCCCTCCTCACACTGCACAGCCCAGGGCCAGGACAAGGAGGGCTTGAAGAGAAGTTTTCACCAGGCTGACACCGGGTACAAGAGGAATAAAAAGAGAAACAGAAAGGAACTCACAACCTGCAGCCTTATCTATGGCCTTTATGAGGGTGGGAACCTTCCCTAGTACAGGCCCAGGTAGCGAGAGCCACAGGCAGAGGCCAGGAGGGCTTGGAGAAAGCTAACCACAAAGGAACACCTGGACTCAAGTACAGGGAGACTAGAGGGGAGTGGGGCTCGGGGACATGCTCCTGAGCCCGGCCTAGCCTTCACTCTGATTGAGCCCGCAGGGCTGGGCACGACTTCCAGCTCCTTCCCACCAGAAGCCCGGAGGAGGAGGATGAAGATGGAGGGCCAAGGCCATGTGCTCCCTGCCCCACCCCAGGGCACTCCTCTCAAGGGTTGGGGCGACCAGACACTTGCTCCCCCAAGAGCTACCATTGGCCTCTAGGGCCAAGGTGACTCTACTAAGTAGAGATCACCCCACTCCCTCCAAGGAAGCTCTTGGCTCCAAGAAACAGACACCTCGCCTGTGTTTGCTTCCCTTAGGCTGTTTCGCCCTGATCTCAAGGCCTGGTGGCCCCTGGGGCTGCTGCTCTGAATGGAATGTCCTGACCTAGAGGCTAAGAACCACGTATGAGTCCTGGCTCTCACGTTGTGCAAGTTACTCCACCTCCCTGGGCCTCAATTTTTCCAGTTGTAAATTAGGGAGGGTAGTATGAACTCCTGGCTTGTTAGCACGATCCAGTGATGGTAATGGGAAAATACATAACCCATCAACCCTGTACAGTCAGAGCAGAATGACAGGCAAGGGAGTGGGGGGGCACCTGTGGTACCCAACCCATCTGGTACCCTGCTCCCATTTTCATGCCTCTAATCCCCACGCACTATTGGCCCTAGACTATCTCCCACCCTGAACTCTGGTTTCTTAATGCCTGCTTCTTCCCCCAAAGTGCACACACCCTGCAGGTGGGTGGGAGAGACAGGCCGCAGCTCCCGCTTTGGCTGGGCTGAGCACCGCTGGGAACAGCACAGGCCATGTCTGTACAAGCTCAACATATCTCCCAGCAGGAAGGGCCCTTGCTCGTCAGCGTTTCCCCAAACTGCACTCCTTTGTCAGTGGGTCTCAAACGTTGGGGGGGCGGGCACCAGAACCACCAGGTGGGGCTTAACAAACTGTAGACTTCGGTTTCCCTCTAGGTCAGAGGCAAGGCCCAGAGGCTGTTATTAACCAGCACCCCGAAAGCTCCTGCTGCTCGTGGTCATTGGGCCCCATGTGCAGGACAGCTGTGATGGTTAAAGCCATCCCTTAGTCACACACCACAGCCCCCTGGAGAGGCACACAGCCCACCAGTGCCGCTCATTTGACCTTATCTCAACATTTCCCGAATCTGACTATAACGCTGTTTTAAAAAACGAGAATGACCTTAACATCTCACAGAACTAGCATGCTGAGGAATGCTTTGGGAAATGTTGATCTCAGGCTTTTTCAAAAATGTTTAAAACAAATATTTGCTTTTGAATATCTGAGTGGGTGAAGCCTAGGGAGATTAGGTGCATTCAAGGGGCTCGGGCCTGGGCCTGCCCCTGCCCCTTCCTGTTGCCACCCGTTCCTCCGCCGTATCCTGCCTCTGCTCTCTTTGAGCCTGCGGCTCTCCTGGGGTCACCGTGTCCTGAACTTAGGAGGAACCCTCAGCATGGTTGACTGGTGACAGGAAGTCTGAGCAGGGATGAAAGGGGGTCAGGATTAGCCTGTCTGGCTGGGATAAGCAGCAGAGGAGGGGATGGCCACACTTCTAAGGTGTCTGCACAAGCCCCATTTGTTTGGGGGTGGGGCGGGGGAGGAAGGTCTTTTCCTGGCCCACTGCCCCTCCCGAGACAGCAAGCACACCCAGAAAGACGGTGAGTCGCTGGGTACGACTGGGGCAGAAAATCTTGTCTTGCCTTTTCTTCTCAAGCTCAAAACAGGCACATGTAGTCATTAACTGATATGCTAGAAGGGGCATCCCTTACCAGGAGGAAAATGGATTTATTGCTTTATAAAAAGGAGTCTGATAAAACTTAAAAGAAAAAAAAAAAACCAACCACCAAAACAATTCACTTAAAAATCAACCCACCCCTCTCAGAGCTCCCAGGAAGCCTCAGGCACATTTCTGAGGGCAGTCAAGGTGGGTGGGTTGGTAAGCCAGGCCCGCCTGGCAGAGGAAACGGGGCCTCGCCCACATAAACAGCTCCAGGGCCCTTGGAAAGTCTACCAGCAGGGGGCGCTGTGGCCCTGCAGCCCGGGACAAGCTCCCAACCCTGAGCGGGGCTGGCTCCTGGGTGCTCGGCTTGCTGCGGGCCTGGTTGGCTCCGGGGTGTCTCTGGGAGGATAAGGGCAGACCCCCAGCGCCCACATCCCACCCCCATCGCACACACCTCTCTCATGCACAGGACACGTGCGCACAACCCACACGCACACACAACCCCTAGGTCTCTCACAAATCCACCTTCCCACCCGGGCCTGGACCTCCACGTCTGTCAGCCACATCTTCACTTCAACCCCCACGAAAACAGGTGTGTGTGTGTGTGTGTGTGTGTGTGTGTGTGTGTGTGTGTGTGTGTACACGCGTGCGCATGCGTGTTTTTGTGTGTGGTGCCCCTTTAATTCCCTTCAGGTCACAGACTGGACAGAGGGTGGCAGTGGAGACGCGCCCATGGCTCAGGCCCTCAGGGAGGAGGGAAGGGACTGCTGCTCGGCCCTGACCACAGCTCCTGAGCCACATGTGACCGTCCAGCCCTCCATCCCTTCCCCAGGCTTTAAGCCAGGGGGCCTTAGGCCTCGAACAGGAGGACAGGCCACAGGGGGCTGGAATCACAAAGGAGTTAGCACCAACAACAGGAAGCGGGTCCTTCCTTCCTCAGGCAGCTCAGACTGGCCGGGGGAGGAGGTGAGGGGCCAGGCGAGGCGGGTACAGACAGTGCAAGCCTTTGTCCTCAGCAGGCGTGGTTGGTGGACATGCAGCCGAGGGGCAGGTGGTGGGCAGCAGACGGCAGACTCCTCTGCTTTGGCAAGAGGCGGAATCTCGACACACTGCGGGGAGAGGGCCTGCCTGCCCAGGGTCCTCCTGTCTGCTCCTGCAGGCACCACGGAGCCCCGAGGCTCCAGGGCCCCTCGAGGGTGGCTGAGCGAAGTCCAGAGCGCCTCTGCTTCCAGCAGGAGAAGCGCCTGACCAGGCCCTCTCCCATCCTTCCACCGCAGAGCTCCGAGGCAGGACCAGGGCCCTGGGAGGGAGCGAGGACTCCAACATGGTGCAGGACAGGATCCTAGGGGTGCGTGGAGGTCCTCTGGGGTGGGGAGGACACCGCTGAGTCACTGAAGCAAGGGCAGGACGCCACAGTTCCGAGGTGGTGGGCACTACACAAAAGCCTCCCGGTTGGACGAGCCGTTGAGCTTGAGGAAAAGCTTGTCGTCCTCCCTCTTCTGCTGCAGCTGCCTCTCCAGCTGGCGCCGGTAGCAGATGAGGTAGAGGGGAAGGCAGAAGCCCAGCATGCTCAGGACAAGCAGCCCCACATTCACCTGGGGAGGCAGGGACGAGAGTCGAGAGTCGCCATCGAGGGCCGGGGCGGGGAGGGAGGCAGCAGGCAGGGGCTGTGGTCTTTGCAGAGCCCAGTTCCAGCCCCTTCCTCGCTCTCAGGTTTGGGAATGAGGAGGTCGTCACAGGAGAGGAGAGGGAAAACAAACAAGGAGTTTCAAGAGGTCGGAGGGCCCATCGTTCCACATTCCAGCAACAGAGTTCCCCAGCTGTCCACAGGCCGGGCCACCATACTGTGCTGATCTGAATCTCTAGGGGCGGGGCCGGGATTGGGACAAGCTCACAGCACCTGGTTAAGAACCTGGGCCTTTGGCAGGAGGAGCAGGGACAGCAACTTGGCTCGATTTACCCCAAAACCAGGCCCAGGAAGGACAGTCTTCTCCTCCTGTCCCTCCTGCCCGTTCACAAGGGGTCCCTGAATTCATCCTAACCAAAGTTCCAGACTGCCTGTCCCGGGGGCCTAGAAGCCCCCGAGCGATGCCTCCCAGCTCCCAATCAGCAGGGTGGGGCGGATGCCCGTAACCCTCTGCACCCCGATCCTTCTTACCCACAGAGGGTCTCCTTGGAGGGGACCCATCATAGCCAGAAACAGGGGCTGCTGCAGGAGAGCGAAGAGCGCACTGACCAGGGACTGCAGGCCTGTGAGGCTGCCGAACTGCGTGGAGGGGTACCTGCCGGGGCAGCGAGAGCCCGTCACCACGGGGGCCACGCTCCGGCGGCCCACATGCCCGTTCGCAGCCTGGCCCCAGGTGCTGGTGCCCCCAGGCTGCACCTCCGGTGGCACAGAAGAGGTGGGAATAGCCTCAGAGAATGGCGGGGTGTCCATCCTCGAACTGCTTTCTGCTGAGCAGTTCTGCAAAGCGAATTTGTCCTTTGGACGAACATGAGGCCCCGGGGCCCATGGGTGTCTGGCCAAGCCGAGTGGAAAATGTGGTGCCAGCAGGAGTCTGCAGCTTGTGAACCAGGCCCAGGGAGCAGGTTGGAGGCTGGGCATGGCCTGGCTGCACCCTCTTCCAGAGGAGCGTTGTGTAATCACGGAAACATAGCATCACAGCCCTCGACGAGTCCCTCAGACTCTGCCAGGGCAGCCACAACTTCCTCCAGGCCTGGGGGGTAGGTGGGGGTGGAAGAGGCAGACCTGGAATGACCCCCATGGGATACCGTTGAGAGAGGGAGAGAGTTCTGGCAAAATCTTAGCCAGATTTTGCCAGAACTCTGGGGCCACCACATCAGGCATCGTGGCCCCAGAGGTGAGAAGGGACTCCTAGCAAGGAACGGCTGGAGGAACAGGCTAGTCTTTGGGCAGAGGGAGACAGTGGATGGTGTTTGAGTTCCAGTGTTGGAGCCAAGGCCCGGCCCAAGGAGAAGGAACAACTATGCTTCCTTAGGCATGTGTGGCCTCTTGGAAAAGGAGGCAGGTTTCATTTTAGCCAAGGCCTGAGAAGGCTGTGGACAGAACCAGCCCTTTGAGGCCCTGGGTGGGATCTGTCAGGCACATCCTGGGCTCAGTTACTCACGTCACTGCCGCCGCTGAAGCCCACTTGAAGGTCACCGTTGAGCTGTGGGCAGCTAGAACCCACCCCCCTGCCCTTCCCATGAGCAACCAGAGGCAGCCTCAGAACCCGGCTGCGCAGCAGTCCCCAAGGTAACAACGAGCGGCACCTTGGGCTGGGGGAACTGACTTCGTGTTAAATGCCAAGGCTTGTGGGCACCCAACTGTCTGCCCGCTGACCTGCTCCTGCCAGGTATGGCCTTCCCCTGACACACCCAACAGAAGCCCTGGGTACCTAAGGCCAGAGGATGAACCCCGAGTGGGCAAGATGGCCCCCTTCAGGCCCTCAGTCCCACCAGGAACCTCCCTCAGGTCATTCCCTTACCCTCGGCCACCAGGTCACCCACAGCTCCCAGGACTTACACAGCGGCATAGAGACCCCCGACGGCAGAGTGGATGAATCCGCGCACGATCGTGTGCAAGATGAAGGAGAGGATCTGAGGGAGGGAGAGCAGAGTGTTGAGCAAGAGACATGGAGGGCCTCACCTTGTCCCCTTGCCCCAGAGCTCCTGGGGTCCTGAGCGGTGGGAGTACTGGCGCCCTGGAGTCAGCTTGTGCCAGCTTTCCAGGGCCAACTCCTGAACTGCCAAGAATTCTGAGCCGATTTTAAGTTAAACACAGTCACTACTAACAGTTCAATTGTAATAAACGTACAATTCAACAAATTACAGTTGACCTTTAAACAACACGGGGGGCTAGGGGTGCCGACCCTCCACGCAGCCAACAATCCACATATAACTTATAGTCAGCCCTCTGTTTCCACAGTTCTGTATCCTCGGATTCAACCACCCATGGATCACGTGGTACTTAGCATTTACCATTGAAAACCATCTGAGTATGGGTGGACCCGCGCAATTCAAACTCGTGTTGTTCAGGGGTCAACTGTACGTTGAAAACAAAGTTAATGAATCCTCAAAACCCAGCATACCCTAATTATTTTATTCTGTTTTACCATTAGCCGTGCTCTTAAGATTTTTTTTTTTTCAAAAATTTTTTATTTTTTTATTTTTGGCTGCGCCGCACAGCTTGCAGGATCAACCAGGGATTGAACTTGCGCCCTCAGCAGTGAAAGCGCGGAGTCCTGACCGCTGGACCACCAGGGAATTCCCGCTTTTAAAGTTTTTTACTCTACTGTAAGTATCGTATGATGGTGTGTTACTGTGCCTCTTTCCAACTCCACAGTTGGTGACACCGTACTGACTGATATCAGCCACGACGAGAGCACTTGTACCGCAGAAATTGGCAAACACTAAAACCCAGGGCTCCCCCAATCCCGCCCCCATCTAGAGTCTGCTCTTAAGTGTACGTATGGATATAGCTTATAAGCTCCTCCTTATAAGCAGGAGGTCACTAATCACAACTCCTGCCTTTGCGGACCTGAGGACTGTGCCCAGGTCTCCCTGCCTGGTCACCCAGGCCCTACTGGTAGATGGCTGTCCCTTTCCCCTCTAGCTCTGCTTTCCTGAGGAAAGGGCACTGCTGGCAAGCTTGGCAAGCTTAGCAAGCACTTGTTAACGATTCCTTAGAGCCACGAGCTGTCTCCTTTGCTCCCAGGACCCTTTGTTTGCTCTTTGCACACAGCCCTGCCATCGGGCTCAGCAGCCAAGACCCGTTTCCGGGAATGTGGGCAGTGGAGGCGGCGAGGGCTGCTCTCTGCGGTGCTGTGAGAGGTCTGTGCCTGAACGTGCACCCATCCCTCGGCAGGCTCCGCTTTCCACTCCAAATGCCTTGCTGCCTTTTCACAACTTGCCTTTCAATAAGAACTGGATAAAACACAAAGCAGATGACTGTCCTCACTGAGCATTGCCCCGCGACCGGACAAGGGCGGTCAGGGCAAGGGTCTGCCGGTCTTGCGGAGAGGGCCACCACCAGGAGGCCGGGAGGGCACCAGGGATGCAGCAATACTCCCATCTGGAACTGGTAGAGCCTCTGGTGGTTTACTCTGGCTGCACGCGGTGTCGGCACAAACACATGGTAGCACCTGTGGGTGGCGCACACCTGGATGTTCAATGAACTTCTGCGTGCGGCCACTTGTAGAAAGGGACTCTTGCTTTCCTCCTGGACCTGGTCCAAGATACCACCTGGACTCGGGTCACACCCATCTGGAAGCAATGCCATCACTTCTGTCCCTTCCAGGTTCATACATTTGGGGATTAGAACTAGAACACTTCTGTGGACCTAAGGGTGGAGCCAGGCAGGTAACAAAATCTACCTTTCTCAAACTCTGCCAAAAGTCAGGTTCCAGAGGCACTGGAAATCTTGTGAGAAGGAATTAAACTTTTGAACCCAGATGCCAAGGGATCGTCGGTCTTTTTCCTGCGGCTCCCCTGTACTGGAGGAGCAGACGTTCCCACCAACGCCACAGACTAGCCAGAATTCTTTGGACATCAGACTTCAGCTGTTTGAGCGCATGCAAAACGAGCAGCCACACAACTACACCACATGGTTCCAGAAATGGGAAGATGATGGTATTCACGGCATGCAAGATGCCTAAAGACCAAGAAGAATGATATACTTTCATAGAGAGGAGTCTTCTGTGAAAGGCAATCTCAGTTTCATTCGCAGCTTGCTCCCAGCATCAGGCAGGTACAGAGCCTGGCAGGTAGGGGGCCCTTTGGTAAATCACAGCGAGCCGGTTGACAGGTTGGTTGGTTGAATTAAACAAATGCAAAGTCACTGTTCTCTCTGCTGAGAGAGCACTGTTCTCTCCCCCATGAGACATCATGCACCTTTCAGTCTCATCACCCCATACCCCACCTGGCTTCTCCCTCTCCCCATACCCACCTGTAGAGGCAGGTTGGGAATGAGGCAAGTCACCCCAAAGCCCACGAGCAGCAGGTTTGTGAAGGCGAAGGCCCGCATGGCGTTGGTGATCTTCTGGATCTGCCGGTCCCGCTGCTGCTTCTTCTCACCTCTGTGCAAACGCAGAGCACACACCGGAGCTGGGGGCTCCCTGGAGGATAGGCTCCCCCCAGGAAGTCGGGTCCCGGAGGTCACAGCTTGTGGACAGTGCGAGACTCAGAGACCACCCGCAAGCATGTGCTAGGGACTGTGGGGGCTAAACCAGCACGAGGGACACTCCCCACTGCACCCCCTGGGCTGAGTGCGGAGCGTGAACCTCAGTGGAGAGGTCGGACGCGAGAAGGCACGAGGAGGCGGGCGTCAACGCCCTGCGCCGCCTCAGCGAAGACTGAGGCCCGATGACGGGGCGGGAGGAGGAGTGTGCGCCCCGGTCAGGATGTGGCAGAGCCTCCTTCGCTACTGGCTCCAACTTCACCTGAATCCTGCAGGGAGCTGACACTAAGCCAGATAATAAGCCAACAAAGGGAGTGAGTGGATTTCTCCCTGGGCGGCAGGAAGGGGTGAAGGAGAAACGAGTATGCGGCAGATGGAACTGGAATGGGCACCAACAGCCTTCTGGCTGTAGGACCTGACCTACATAACAGAGCATTCTCTGTAATTATTTCCCTGTGAATTCACTATTACTGATTCCAGGCTCAACACCCACAGAGATACCCCCACGGACAACTGTATGACATCCAAGGGCTCAGAGATGTGCAGGGAGGCCCAGACCCACCACTTTCTCCCTACGTGACCTCATGCAAGCCACTCAGGACGCCTAGCTTCAGTACTCTCATCTGCAAAATGGGTCTAACTCATCGAGGTGTTGGGAGGCTTACCTGAGATGTTGTGCATTAAGGGCTTGGCACAGGGCCTGATACAGTAGAGGAGCTTATTGTACTAAGGTGGAGTCAGAGAAGACAGCATTTAACTCATCCTCTGATCTCAGAGCCCAACCCTTCTGTAAAGTAGGGCTCCGGTCCCTTGCTTAATCCTCACAGTCATGAACAGATCTATTGACATGTAGGTTATAGCCGTTTACTACTCACACCCAGTGGAGCAGACCTTGCGGGCAAACAGGACCACTCTTGAGGATGTCTGCCCGTGTACTACTTGTGCTAAGGATCGGAGTGCAGCCCTAAAAGCAGGATGTATGATAGCTGTCTGCACAGACCTTCCTCTGGTTTCTCTCCTCTCTTTGAGCTCCGTGCCTCCCCAACTTTTGCATACAGAAGACTTGCCTTACAGAAGCAACAGACCAAAATGTGTGCTGAGCTGAGCGCGGGCAAGAGCATCTTTGAGCACAGCCCTCTCTCGCCTCTCCTGCTAACTTTAAAACCTAACCCACCCACCCTGATGCTGCCTAACACCTGACCGGTGGGCTTCTCCCTCTGGGGGCCGGGGCCCGGGGCACGAGCTCCGCCTACGCACTGGTTGGCGTCTTTCTCCTCGGGCTCCTCAGGGGCATCTTCACACTCCTTCAGCCTCCAGTCCATGATGTAGCCAATGACGGGGGCTGTCAGCAGGCAGAGCAGCTGGAGCACACCGAAGATGGAGGTGTAGAGGCCCACTGAGGATAAAGACGGGCTGGGTCACGGGGCCGCCGGCAGAGGCCTGGGGTGGGCGCTGGGCAGAGTCTGTGACCCCACAAGCCCTTCTGGGATCTTCTCCAGAACCGCCCCCTTGTCACTGTGGGTCATGAGGGGAGCCCGGAGACCTTAACCTCTGAAATCAAAGCCGGAGCGAGGGGCAGCCTACCCTTTTCTTTTCTCCAAAGTCCTCGCCTATTTCCAAGAAACAGCTAATGAAATCCAGTATGTCACAGTGACTTCCCCCAGAAGCTCCAGGAAGTCTCTCTGACTTTGGGAACCACAAAATTACCAATGCCTGGGACTGAGGTTTTGTGTGTGACTGGCTGTCAGTTTTTTGCCTCTAGAAATATACCAGGAAGGCACCACTCACAAGGGCACTGACGTAAGGGCTTCAATCTTCAAAGAGCCTTAAAATTATGATGGGATTTCTCAGACAAACAGAAGCTGAATGTTGACCGCCCCACCCCCAAACACAGGTCTGGCCGAGAGGGGTGTCTGGAGTTCAAGGAGGGGTGTTAGAGACCGGCTAGGAGAGGATGTCATGTGTTCCCTGACAATCCCCCATCCCCGCCCCCACCGGCTTACCGGTAGCCATCACTGCATCAAGAAAGCAAAAGTGAAAAAGCAGAGAGGAGTGAGGTCAGCAGCAGAAATGTCACAGGCTGTTACAGGGGGATGGGGCACGGAGGCAGGCTAGCTCTGGGCCCAGCTCACACGCCATTTCCCACCAAGCTCCGACTCTCAAGAGCGCCCAGCGCGGGTGTCTGCGGACGTTTTCCTGCCGGCTGGGGCCTCACTCGTGTGCAGCTGGTGCCTCGTCACAGGCGGGCTGGTGAATCAGGCCTGTGGTGTTTGCGGGGGACCATGATGGGGAAGCGGTGTGGGTGCAGAAGACCTGGCAGAACCTGGGCCTCGCTGCCCTTGTTCCCTCCGAGGGCAAAGAATCCACCCCACACCCAGCCCAAGTATCTCACTAGCCAGCGCTGGTCTCCCGTCCACCTACTGGCCCCCTGACCCTGATAGCCAGACGTGTGTGTGTGTGTGTGTGCGTGTGTGTGTGTGATGTCAGGCACAACTGCTCACAGGAGCAGGATGGGGAAAACCAATGCCGTGTCGGCTGCAGAGACCGAATTTCCTGGCCCGACTTCCTCTACTTGAAATTGGCTTTTTGAATGCGGGAAACAGATGGAAAAAATGCCTCTTGGGCAGCGAAAGAGTTCTCAGAGTAAAAGGCCATGACTCAGCAGCAGAGAGATGATCTGCCTTCCAAGGGCCAGTGAGGGCCCTTCTCTGTACCCGTCAGAGTCTCCACCTGTCTGGGCCTCAGGGTTTACAATAGAGGGCAAATAGACACGATAGGTCATCTCTCCCCAAAGCGTGGCACACAGATTTTAATGAATGTTACATAATAAAAGCGTTCCTGGGGTAGAAACATAGGGGAATATCATTGGACGAAACAAAGCTAAACAGGTTATTTTTCTTCCTATCTTTGCGTCTGCTACAAATTTTTGCGAGGGCGCATGATAGGGTTTTTTCCACATTGCCTCACGTCCGAACACCCATTTTTGGAGTAGAACCTGCATTATCTGTGCCTCTTTGTCACCTTCCCCTTTTGCTAAGGCCGGGTTTCTCATCCTCTTTAAAAACTTACAGTGCCTGGCAGATCTTCCCGGGGTGCGGGGAGGGGGAAACCAACCCAAAAGTTGTGCACCAATGAGACAGCCAATAAAAAGGATTTACCAGATGTGTTTGTCCCGCTTAGGGATAACTAAAGCTGACTCAGCTCAGGCCCTGAGGAAGTGATGACTTTCTTTGTAGAATCAAAACCTCTAATCAGCTTGTGTGTTCTCTTGGAAAAGTGGCAGGTGGGTTATCAGTTCTGTTTACCAGAAGTAACAAGCCTGGACTGGATTACCCACGAGGAAGGCTCCACCTGGCTCTGCTTCCCAGTTCAGGGCACAGATCCGGTGCAGGCCCAGGAGCCCCAGTCTCCAGCCGCAGTAGCCCAGCCCCCATCTCGGCCCCCAGCCTCTCCACGCGGCACCCCTGCGGTTTCCCAGAGAATTCTTGGCGTTGGGTTTGACTGACAGTCTTTCGACAAGCTCTCAGGTGGAGTACCGCGTTCTGTGCAGTGTTTTCATTTACAAACACACGTCAACCGTCCCCCTCAGGCAACAAAAAACACATCCCCACACCCCAAACACACGCAGTTATTTTAGTCCTCTCCTACCCCCTAAACCGGGAAACTCTGACGGGGACATGAAAGGACAGTTGGGCCCGGCTGTGATGAAATGGCTGTGACACACAATCAGGCCCTTGGATTCTGCCATCTCATGGCCCTGCTGGTCCAGCCCAGCCCAACACCCTCCAGCCAGCCGGGCAGTGGGCTTAACCTCAGGCGGGCAGGAGCGACCACCGCTCGTGGGCTGTGCCCTGGGGCCTGGAGGCCACCTACCTACGTCCTGGTCGCCGCTGACCAGGAACTGGAGGATGTTGTTCATGGCGCCCATGTAAAAGATGAGGCGCAGCTGAGTGACGCACATGGTGACCAGGCTGAGCAGCAGGATGGGGCTGAACACGCTCTGCATGAACGAGGGGGCCGCTGCGGGGAGAAGAGGCTGCTCAGGGAGAACCGGGAGGTACCGCCGTGGCCACGGCCCACCCACCACCCAGGGGCTGGGCGCGTGGGGCTGAGAGCTGCTTTGCCGACCAAATCATGCTGGATGAGGTGGACGGCTGGACGCAGGAGTCAGGTCACCCAGCCGTACGAAACAAGCTGGGTGAGTCCCTCACCCTCGCCGACCCTTCGTCTGTAAGGCAGGCTGGATGGTGCCACCGGCTCTTTGGGGAGGAAATGGGGATTAAGGGAGATGGTACCCACAAAGCCCTCAGCGGGAGCTGGTCCCCCCCGAGGGGGCTGCAGCTTCCACATCTGGACTGGCCTCCCCCTCCTTGTTGCTGGGGTGCGGGTGTGGGTTCAGAAGCCCCTGCTGACGGCTCAGGCGGGCTTGGGAGGTGGGGGCCGCACGCGGGTACCTGCGGCATCGGGCTGGCACTTGACCTCCAGGTCAACGGTGGACAGGCACAGCTTGTGGCCCTCCTGCAGCGCCGCCTGCTCCTTGGCGCTCCGCATGGAGCTGCCCACGCTGAGGCGGCGCCCGACCGTGGTAACCTGCTTGTAGAACTGCTTTCCAGTGATCTTGTGGTCGAAGCCCAGCCAGCTGAACTTGATCTTCACCCTAGAGGCCACAGGAGAGCGTCTGTCGCGCCGCCAGGGCCCCTAGCCGGCGCAGGGGTGGGAGCAGACCACACGGCCACTTACGTGTAGTCCATGTCCTCTGGGCCCGGGAAGGGCTCCAGGGGCCAGTTAAAGAAGCAGTTGAGGAAAACCAGCCCGGAGCAGCCGGCCCAGACCACGAGCATGACAACGAAGGAGGCGCCGAAGTCGTAGATGACCTGAGAGGCACAACAGGGTAGCGGCTGGAGTCAGGGCAGAGTTAGCAGAGGGAAGCCGGAGCGGGCAGCGGGTAGGGGCACCCAGCAGTCCTGCTCTCCCTGCACTCAGCTGCGAGGGGACGGATGGCCCCATCAGCCTGGGTGTTTGGTCGTCAGGCACCTGCATTCCAATAATCTTAGCTCGCCCTGGACCAAATGCCTCCAGCTTGGACCAAATGTCATCTCCTTGGAGAGGCCCTCCCAGACCACCCATCACTGTCACATCACTGGCTCACAGTGAACAGCCCTGGCTGAGATTTTTGACTTCTTGATTCATTTCCTCATCTGTTACTAGGCCAGCTCCCTGAGAGGAACCTCCAGCCTTGTCCACTGATGTTTCTCTAGTACCCTGAAGCATACACACGGTAGGTGCCAAAAAAATACTCAAGGAATGAACAGTTGGAAGTCTCACTTTGCTCCTCTGTGAAATGGGTGTGACACTGGCATGTACCCTCATGGTGTCAAGGTGGGGGTCAAGCAGGTAGAGGGCTCAGGACAGGGCCTGACAGGTGAGAAGCCTGCAAGCCTGTTAATGTCATAATTGCCATTGATTTCCAGCACAAGAGTCCCCAGAGTAGTGGCAGACAGCAGCCCAGCTCCCCAGGGAGGGGACCAGCAGTTATACACGGAGAAGAGGAGGAGGGAGAACCTGTAGGCTCCTCTGCACTCCAGGAACTCGAGGATCCCTAAAATCCACAGACGTCTGGCCCCAGCCCTTGCAAGCACCTTGAAGTCCAGGTGGCCGGCCCATGTCTTTTTGTTTTGTTTTTTGGCCGCGCTGTGTGGCATGCAGGATCTTAGTTCCCCGACCAGGGATCGAACCCGTGGCCCCTGCAGTGGAAGCGCGGAGTCTTCACCACTGGACCCCCAGGGAAGCCCCTGGCCCACGCCCCCTGTGACTCCTCCTCCTCTTGCCCTACGGCCTCTCCTCCTTGGACGTCTCAGGAAAGGGGATTTATTTGGTGCTGGTGCCACAGAAGGGAGAAGTCCCTTCTGAAGCCCTTTCAGGAGCAACAGGATTTGGAGCAGGAACTGGGACTGATGAACAGTGAGGTGTTTGCTCCATCCTGACCCTGTATGACTTCCACGGGCTCAGAATCCTGCCTGGGAGGGAAACAGCTGAACCAACTTGGCTGAGGGCAGCGCTCTGGCAGTGGGGAGAAATACAGCCCAACAACAACAGACCTGGGGGTGGGGGGACTAGAGTTAGACTCAGGACTGGGGACAAACACTCACCCCCTTTCTGTCCCCAGGCCTGAAACGCAAAGGCAGCCTTCAGTCACACCTTGCAGTGATATGCCTGGATTTCCCAACCCCCCACGCCCCTCCCCCAACCCCCGCACAGCAGGTTTCTTTTTTTCTTTTTCTTTTTTTTTTTTT